AAGTCGCCGGCCACCCAGCATCACCCTCCCAGCCCCTGGGGCGACGGGAGATGTCCAGCAAGTGCCACAGCCCGTGCTCTCAGCACAGCATCCCAAAGCAAGCAGGCTGCGTCCCCTCCCCATGCACAGGGTGCTGGGGTGTTCTGCAGCAGCAATCAAGGGGAATGGCTTTGCAGTCCTACTGCCTCCATCCAGATATCAGCTCCTCAAAACCAATCGGGTATCGAGGTCCCTCCAAACAGCAGGCTGCGCTTCTGCTCCCAGGTGGGAGCTGGTAACTCCCAAAATCCCATTTGGGCCATGCCATAAGGCTCCTGGGGTTCCCCCCATGCTTTCCTCTGCCCATCACTCGCTTGCAGTGCTGAGAGCGGCCAGCCACATTTCATCGGCCCCCAGCCGCGTTTCATCAGCCCGTGCTGACGGCAAAGCAAGCCGGCACCAAGCCAGCCCAGCTGCACCGACCCTTGGGGATGACAGCGTTCAGCCAGTTCCTGCTCCAGAGGATATCCCCACCACCACCACCACCACCACGCTAGGCCACAGGGCTGCAGCTGGAGCCCCAGCACAGTGCAGGGGTCTTGGCACCCGCCCCAGGGGACGGTGGGGCCCAGGGCCAGCCCTGGCAACATTGGGACACATTGAGGAAGACAGAGCAGGCCACAAAGGAGGGCAGTAGCGATGGTCTGGGGAGACAAGCGCAGCGTCTGCAGACCCTCAAGTCTCATCCCTCCTCAGTTGCTTGCTGAATGGTTTTAGCTCTGCCAGACCAGCACCGTCCCTCTGGGACCAGCACAGGTCCCCACTCCAAGCCCAAACCGACAAACCCACAGCCCTCCAGCACCTTCTCCCCCTGTACCTCTCCTAGGTCAGCACACCATTTGCTCAGCAAAACCCCCTTGCACTTTTCCACCGTTAACGCTCTTCTGCTTTGAGCCTTGTGCCCCTACTCGGACCCCCCCACCTTCACATCCCCAGGCCATTCCAGCCCTTCTGCTTTTGGCGGGATACTCTTAATATTATTTGGCTGGATTTTCAGTCCTAGAAGAGTTAGGTTCCACCTCAGTTTAATTGCACTGTAAGTAATTGCATTTTGTATCTCCAGTCTTGCCCCAAGCCTTCATGTCCCACCCAGCAGCACTCACACAAGTCCTGTGTGGCCTCTTGCTCGAGCATTGGAGGTGCTGCCAGGCTTCAGCCTGCATTGTGCAGAGCAGCAAAGTGCTGCCATCCCTGCCCTGGGAAACCCTGGTGGCTTGGGGGGAAGATGAAACTTGGAAAGGAGTAAGTGGGAAACTCAGGTGGGAGGGAGAGAGGTGGCGGTAGCCTTTACCGCTCAGGTGCAACCTCAAACCTGCTGACAGGGGAAGAGACTTACACCCCACGTCCAGCGTGATGCTGTCGAAGGAGACACCAGCCTCACTGAGGGCCTCACAGATGTACTCGCCCGAGTCCTCCTCCCGCACGGCCTGGAGCTGCAGGACACCACGCTGCATGCCACCGGGGGATGTCACCACTTCCTGCTCACCTGCACATGGGGAGATGCCCCACGCGAGCACCTACACTCCAGGGAGCCTCCACAGCACAGCCGGGACCCGGCATCCCCCTGGCCGGGAGCAGCAATCCCCCAGCCCAGCCTCACCTCTGTACCAGACGATCTGGGGCACGGGGACCCCTGAAACCCAGCACTCCAGGACCACATCTTCCCCAACCAGGGCCTTCACTGCAGGTGTCACTGCCACGATGACGGGAGGCTCTGTGCCCGTGGGGGAGAAGAGAAACGGCTTCGGGTTATTGCCAGCTAGGAGGAAGCCTGGATCTCGGGGAGCAGCAGGGAGCACTAGTGGAGGGGGCAGTCGGTACCAGTATACTCCAGAGCCACGGCTCGCTTGACCCAGCCCAGCAGGCTGCTGGCGTGGCAGCTATAGTTCCCCGCATCCTCTGGGACCGCGGCCGTGATGTGCAGGGTACCCTGCGCATCGACAAAAACCCTGGGTCAAACAGAAAGAGAGGGAGAAATGAACCCCGTAGAAATGGGTCTGACGAAAGTGTTGAAATAAATGAGCAGGCTTAAAGCCATCTTTCACCCATGAATAGTTCACTGGCCATTTGATAGATCCAGTTTTGCACTGAAATGCAAATGCTTTAGCTACTGCAGGAGAGAATATTGCTTTAAATTAGGGAAAAAGCATTGAGTAATGGGGTTTTTTCATATCTAAAGGAAAGGAAAACCCTCCCCAAAGTCCACTCAAGTGTTTACAGTCTCACACGGAGCAGGGAGGTAGGAAGCCAAAAGCAGAAATTAAGGCAAAACATAAATAGCATTTTGAGGCTCGAGTCCACACTGGGCTTACAAGAGCTCAGCTCCTCCTCCCCTCAAGTTACCCTTGGTGGGGACAGTGACATGGATAAGGAAGGATGCCTTAAAATTAAACATGAAATTAAGACTGGCAGCATGCTGACCATCTCGGGGGCATGGGTTGGGGATATTCCAATGCTTTCATCTCTCCAGAGCCGGGAGCCACTGCAAACCCTTTTCCACCAACCTGTGCATCTCTCCAAGGGGACCACAGGACACAATGAGATTAAAGAGAGCACGTGTCACTCAGTAAGATATTCCTACCGAGAGCTCCCTGTCCATCTATGGAGCACCCATTCCCCTCTGCCACCACCTGCACCCCCCTTCCTACACCAGGGAACAAGAAGCTCCTCCAGGAGCATGAGATCCCAGCTGCTGGGTGTTTGAGCCTGGCTCCGGAGCAGGCTCTGCAGGTTACCTCTCATCCTCCTCCAGGGCCCTGCCCCAGCGCTTCCAAGTGGTCCGTGGTGGGGGGTGGCCCCCTGTTGTGCAGTTCAGCTTCAGCTCTTCACCCTTGGTGAACCGCTGGGGGCTCAAGTCCACCTTCACCCATGGTGCCTCTGCATGGGGCGGAATAGAAGGACTCAGGCCCTGGGGTGCAACCTGCTCAGCTCCCTCTCTTCCTTCCCCCTGCCCCGAGACTAGCACCAATCAAAACCAGGACAAGGTGAAACTTGCTCATCTGGGGCTCCTGAGAGGACCTGGGGCTTCAAATCTCCCCGCGCAACTAAACCCAGGCCACAAAGCACTGCTCGCTTAGCAACCTTGCTGCTGAACACAAAAGCCAAGCCGTGGCCTTGCGTGGGGGACAGCTTACCCTGGATCAAGAGCCAGATAGAGGCGCTGGCAGCCCCATGGGCATTGCGCGCAATGCATTTGTACTGGCCCCCGTCCCCCGGCTGCACACTGCTGATTTCCAGCGAACGGTTCTGCAGGAGCCTCGTCCTGCTGTCCTCCGGCTGCACCCCCTTCCAGTCCCAGCTCCAGGTTAGGTTGTATGGGACGTCGCTCAGAACGGTGCAGGACATGACCACGTCCTGACCGGGCAGAGCTGTGATGTTCCCCGGGGCTATGAGACGTGGTGGCGGTTCTGCAACAAGCCAATGGGAAATCAAGAGCGCACCCCTATGACGAGTCCATCCCCAGCTCTAGGCCAAGGTACCTCCAAGCCCCAAAGCACCGAGCTTTTGCCAGATATCACTCGGCACAAGAGGCGAAAAGTACCGACCTGTGACAGAGACGAAGGTGCGAGCCCGTGTCGCCCCAACCTTGCTTGTGGCTGTGCACTCATAAAAACCTTCATCACTCTTGGAGACCGCAGGAATCAGCCAGCTGCTGTTCCCTGAACCTCTACAGAAGAAAGAAACCACAGGGTCACCCTCATCCCCAGGTCACCAAGCTGGGACTGCCATGCCACTATCCTACTTCAAAACGCCGAGATTTAGAACAAAATCACCACCATCTCGCCCCATTCGGGCAGGTGGGTACACCCACACCAGCAGAATTATGCAGGTGAGTCCTTCATAATTTTTCTCTGCTGCCTAGAGATGCTCACAGCTTTCAAGCACACAACCAGCCCCAACTCGTGCTTCTTACCCCATGACAACGTAACACCATGCTCCTGGCTAGCACAGCTCTGGGGCTGCTGCTCCTCGCATGGGTCCAAACCAAACTCACCTGAAGAGCCGACCTTCACCAAGCTTCTTACCACCTCGGCTGAGCTGCAGGCGAAAAGGGATCTCACTCTGTGCAGAGCAGGAGATCAGCTGAGGCTCATGGTTGTAAGCCTGGATTTTGCTGGAGATGTTCACCTTGGGTAGCCCTGGAAGTAGTTGGACATGCATATAGATAATGCTTCTTGGCAGTCCATCGAGAGTCGCACTGGGAGGCCAGGTGAAAGTATCCCACAAAAAACTAGACCAGAGCCGTTATTGGTAGGGATCTTCCTCCTCTCCAACCTCTGGCCCCATCTTGAGAGGGCTTTGGGGAGCCAGAGCAAAGCCAGGGCCAGGGCTGAGCACTCACCAGGGACCACACTGGTGTAGGCAATGCTGGAGAGGCGTTGCAGGGGGTACCCGTGGGCATCTTTGCCCTTCACCTTCAGCAAGAAATCTCCTGGAGGTGCATGGAGCTGCGAGCCCACCCAGAGCTGCCCAGAGGAGGTGTTAGAGATGCGCCGCATGGGGACCGAGAGGAGCGGGTGGCCCGAGCTGTTGACGAGCTCGATCTCCTGCAAGTATCCAGGCGACTTCAGGCCCGTGCAATTCACCCCCACAGAGATGGGAAGGCCTGGAGAGAGAGAGAGAGAGGGAAAAGCAGCAACACCTAGCTGCAAAACACACAGATGCAGCCCTCGCATACCTGCAGCCCAGCTAACGCCAGCCTTACCCTGCACTGGCCGCTCATCAGGCTGGCTAGGGTCAAAGTCAGGCTGGGTGGAGAAGCTGGCTTGAAAGTTAACGTTGCTGACGCCCGTGATCCTCACTGAGTGGCGGCCGCTGCTCTGGGTCTGTAAGGAGAGTGGGACATGCTTGTGGAGGCAGGAGAAGGGGAGAGGCAACACCACCCACCCTGCACACAAGGGACAGGAGAGCAGCACGGGGAAGGCTGACAGTCAGCCCCTTCCATTCCAGTTGCACTGCCTCCCACAGGACCAGAGGTGGAAGAAAAGGAAAAGCCTAGACTTGGGGGAAGAGACAGGTCGGGGGGCAGCATCCATAGGTGCCGGGACAAAGCTGAGTGCCTGCCAGCAAGGTGTTCAGAGAGATCTGCCCAAGGGAGAGGGAACAGATGCCTCGCAGGCTCAGTCTTAGTGCTTATCCCGGCCAGAGAGGGATGATGTTCCAGGGCTGGCACCAGCCTACCTTGACCAACCACGTCCCTGGCTTGTGGGGCTCCACGGCCACCACCTTGGCGGCGTTTGGGATGCTGAGGAGTTCCTTCAGGTCTTGGCCTTCCTCAAGGACCTTTCCTGCAATGGCAAGAGAACCTCTGGGATGGACAACCCCAATCCCTTCCCCAAGTCTTCTCTATCACCAGCCAGGAGCCCCCATCCAGCAAGGCCTTCACCTGAGGCTCAAAGCAGCACAAAGCCCAAAGAGAGGGACAGCAGAGGAAACCCTCCTAAAACCAGAGGCAAACCAAACCTGGAAGGGAGGGGAGCAGACACACTTCAGTGCATAACAAGGACTTTGCAGCTCATTGCTCGTTATTGAGATTTTTCGGCCCAGGGTTTGGCAGTTCCACTGTCTGCAGCTGTGGTTTGTCCTGACCTCTGGGATCCTTTGAGCTCTTCCCAGGAAGCATTTCCCACTGTCCAGAGGGCAAAGCATCACCTCCACCTACTCACCTCTCTTCAGCACCTACCTGTGGGATCCTGGACCTCAATCTCCGGAGCAGGACCACTCAGGGAGATGGTGACCTCCTTCAGGCTGGAGTCAAAGGGCATGGGCCAAGTATGTTCCCCACCAGCCTCGTGGTCTGTGGATAGCAGGTGAACTTTGGAGGCCTGGATGGCCTCTTCCACCCACTTGAGCACCTGGAGGCACACGGGAGAGAATTAACTCAGGATCCCACCTGCCATCAGGCACTACCATCTCAAAGGCCGTTTTGAGTGCAGGCTGTCTTGCACAGGGGCAGGATCTCAGGGCAAGGCTCAGACATGGCTGCAAGACCCCAAAGGCCTGGGAGGGCTCCCTAGCCCACTAGGAGCAGCCCAAGGTCCTGCTCAGACGTCACCAAACTGCTGCCAGCACCACAACAAGCATCGCTGCCCTAGGCGGCAACAACAGGCTGCACGCGAGGAGCGACTCAACCATGCAATGAATTTGAAAGTCCCACCAGTCTCTGCAACC